TGTGTGTGTGTGCAGGACAAGCAGGGACAGGCGGCTCCACGGATACCGGCGCTGGGGGTGCTGCAGTCCGGATGCAGGGAATGGTGGCCCCGGGGCTGGTGGCCCCAGGGGTGGGAGCACCCAGGGATGCGAGCACCAAGGGATGCAGGCACCCAGGAGACAAGATACTGGCTCCAGGGACACAGGCGATTGCTCCAGGAATTGCACCTGGGAATGCAGGGAGTGCTGGCTGCAGGGATGTAGGCACAGGGGGATGAAGCACTAGGGATGCAGGGTCCCTGGGGAGGCTCACGTCTCGTATGCAGGGTACAGGAGCAGCCAGGGAGGCAATGCCCAAGATGCAGGCATCCAGGAGTGCCTCAGCAAGGATGTGAGGGGTGCTGCAGTGCCCGGGGTGGGGGCAGGCTGCTCCTGGGGCGCTGGCTACCAGGATGCATGAGATGCTGGCCTGGGATATATGAGATGCAGTGTCATGGATGCAGACACCTGAGGAGGCAGCCCCCAGGGATGTGGGCAGTCCCAGGGGTTGTGTGAGCCCCCTCAGGCTCACAGCCAGCTCCTGGGGGTTCCCTTTGAGAGCCCATAGGCTGGTGGATGAACAGTTTGTGGTGAGCAGTTCTGCTTCCTGCTGGCTTTGCTATTCTCCTCTCCAACCCACTTCCCATTCACTTACTGTCAAATCCAGGGGACCCAGGGTGGCCCAGCTTCCTTCCACCATCCCTCCAGTGCCAGATGAGCTGTTGGGCTTAACTGGCAGCAGCAGAGCCTGGGTGCAGGCAGAGCCTTGGCAGCATTGCCCTGCCCTGCCCTGTGCCACGTGGACCTGTGTGGGACACGTGTCACCGTGTCACCACTGCCTTGCTTTGCAGGTTTTGCCATCAGGTGCCTCTGTGCAGACATGGGTCTCAGCAGCATGGTCTGGTGCTGGGTTTGCCCCTTCTTAATTAATGGTCAGACTCCGTGATTTTGAAGGTTCTTTTCAGCCTAAATTGTTCTGTGGTTCTGTGGGCCCTTGCTCCAGAGCAACCTCATCCCTGGCTGTTGCAGACCTAGACTGCACTTTCTTTTCTGTCCTGGCACATTTTTGCCTCCTCTCTGCTCCTGCTGTTCCCCTGTGCACCCAGGAGCGTGTTTGTCACCCCAGCCACCCCCTCAGTCTGCTCTTGCAGGGTCCTGGCAGCATTGGGTGTTGCAGGGCAAGAGGAGGGGGAGTGGCCTCCCCGCCCGCCCCTCCTGCCCACTCTTGGCAGACAGAGTGTCCTTGTGCCACCCCCGCCAGCTGAGCATCTTTGGGGAGAAGGGGGACTGGAGCTCAGAAGCCCTGGGGTCTCATCCTGGCTCCCTGATGTGCATTTCCCTCATAATGCTGAGCCCACAGCACGGGGGTTTCTTCCAGCACATCCTGCACCACCCATGCCTGCCCCAAGCCGAGGGTGCAGGGACCAGATTCTCCTGCCCTTCTGAGGGGCTGGCAGGGGTGCTGTGAAGGTTAATCCTGCTGCCAGCCCCCTCCCTCCCTCCTCTGCCCTGCCACCTCCTGTCCTCTCCTTTGGCCTGGGTGATTCCCGGAGCTGGGGGTGATGGCAGTGCTGT